TACATACATACACACACACACACACACACACACACACACATATATATATATATATATATATATATATATATATTTTTTTTTTTTTTAAGACATTTTTATTTGAATATTACTGTTTATTTTTCTTTTAATGTTGAGCTGCTACAACACAATGAGAAGGTTGTATTTTTATTTGCTGTCTGCCCACCAGGTGGAACTGATGTTCTGTTGATTTTATCTTCCGTGTCATGGATGATATTCATTTCTCAATACTGATGGTCATCACTGGCCAAACAATGTAGCCTTTAATTACTTGATGCTACTCCAGTTATGCAATTTCATATCAGCACTTTTTCATAGATAAAAAAAAAATCACATCAGTGATACTGTTTTTACCTCCACCAATGTGTCATTTAAGCACTGTTGTTCCTCTTTCTCCATCTAGGTTTATGCTTTTTTTGTTTACCCATTTTAGTCTCAGTGCCCTAAACTGGCCTCACTGACCATAAAACCCTCTTCCAGTTACAAGCAATTATCACGCTCACAAGTGTATAGCCTTTGGCAACATTTGCAGCAAAAAGGTTACTTTACTATAGCCAGATAAAACTAAGAAAAGCAGGCCTAGAGAGTAGCGATTCCAAAAGGGAGCGTGTTTTGTGAATTCCTCAGTGCTGGAGATGTTTTGGGTGGCTTGCGGATAAGGAAGGTATTGAACGTTAAGTGCTTTTGGGTCCTGCAAATCGGGCCCCTCTTCTCAAATGTGTGGTTTATCAGTTGGCAGCTTGACTAAGCATAGATAATACTTGCTTATACAAGAGTGTTTTGCTAATAGTGTTGATATGTTTCTGCACACTTGTGTAACGCTAGCGCAGCTGAAGGATGGCTGAGGTCTGTATCCGTAGGTCAGGGTTCCATGATTCTTGTGATTTTCCTTTAGAACCAGGTGGGTGTGTTACAGACCCATGAGATGACATCAAGAGCTCAGCTGTGCTTTATTTACCCTCTGTAGGCAGGCTATGGGGTATTTCATGTGGTTTTATGAGAGCATTGAAGTTTAAATATTGAATGCCATACTATGCAACATTTATGAAAGTTACCAGTTGATATTTAATGCAATTTCTAGGATTGGCCTTGCTCTTAACCCAGGGTTTAGTACATTAACTAATGGTCTGTAAGATTTTCTTGCATCAACCGTTCTTACAACTTCGAACATAAAAGAGAGGAGATGTTCCTAGTCTTATTTTGTATGATTTATTATTCGCGAAGACAAAACTGCATGAACAGTGCTTAAATTACTTTGCTTTTCTGCTAGGAAAGTTGGGGCAGGGAAAATAATGTTGAAGAGAGAGAGAAAAATCTATTTAGACAATTTTAGGCTCATAGGTTTTTAACCAGGGGGTCTGCAGAGAATATACAGTAGGCTATGTTTATAAAACGCATTCCATTTTCTAAAAGAATTATTATGTTTATAGCTATTTGGATGAGTTGACTGTGAACTTGCATTTGGGTCTCAAATCTGATATTGTTCTGCCCTCTTATCAAACGCCCTGCTTGATTTGGCAGACAGATAATACTTGATTTCCCTCTGCTTTCTAGTTCTGCAGCCGTTTCTAAGGCCTCCGCCTTCGCTTGTATGGCAGCAGCTCTCTTTTCCAGCCTTAAAGTCTCTAATGATGCCTCAAGCTGTGCTTGTTGTATTTTCAGTTCACTTTCTTTCTTAGCAAATGCTATTTCCACCTTAGCTGCTTCCGCCTCTGCTCTAGCCATTGCAGCGGCTGTGGTAACAGCTGACGAAGCACGTGAATGTCGAGATGAACATGATGTATTCGATGCCTTCTCCAGCGATCCAGGCTTAGACATCATGGAGAGACGATCGACTTGTGAGCTGGCTTGCTCCCCGCCGTAGAATCAGAACTGGAAGTTGCTCACTGAAGATATTCGTTTTACTGTTCTGCCCTCTTATCAAATGCCCTGCTTGATTTGGCAGACAGATAACACCTTCCAATAACAAAAGAAGCAAGGAATCTTTTCTCCAGCTTTACTATCGATCTTGGAA